TAAAATTTAATTATACAAAAATCGGGTCATAATTTATTTTTTAATATGAAAATAACATTATTAATTAATTAACCTACCACCCCAATCCCCCCTCCCCTTACCCTAATTAAGTTTCAAAAGGTATCTATTGTTTCTCCATTCACAGTCGGCTCATCCTCCTTGGCACCTCCATTGGCAACAGGCGTAGCATCGGAGCCCAGTGCCACAACTTCATGCACAATGGTTCCCCCATCGTCGTCGTGCACAGAGCAGCAACATGCGTAGCGGCGATTTGTTCCATTTCTCCCCATCTCCTCTCTTTTCTCTTCATTTTTGGTATGGTGTTAATGTGGTGTGGTAGAGGTGAAGAAAATAGTGAATTTGAGGAGGTGGTGGCGCTCTTTGGTGTGTCGTTGATTTGAGGAGGTAACGGATGTGAGGTGTTGATGTGAGCTGCTAAATTTGAAGCTCAATATGCTGAATTTATCAAATAATCAACTCTTTGGCGAAATGCCACCTCTATTTGCTAAGGGAGTTCATCGGGATAGCTTTCTAGGAAATCTAAGTTTGTGTGGTGATATTGTTGGTTTATGTTGTAGGAAGAAATTATTTTCTCATATATTCAATGAAAAATATACAGCCTTATTTATAAAACAAACATGAGTAAGGAAAAGAAGGAAAGAAATCTCCTAAATTAGGAGACGAGAAAAGATTCCTAACTAGTATAGCTAACTAAGGTAAGAACTAAGTATGGTACAAAGAATTAATCAATAACAATATTACTCTTGATTTTCTCTACTCCCCTTCAAGTTGGATGGTAAATGTTGACCATTTCCAACTTGCAAATGAAATCGTCGAAACTTTGCCGAGGTAGTCCTTCGGTGAATATATCTAGAGTTTGCTCTCTCGTAAGAATATAGGCCATACAAATAACTCCGAGTTCAACCTTTTCTTTGATAAAGTGCCTGTCCACTTCTATATGCTTATTCCTATCATGTTGAACACAATTAAGAGAAATGTTTATGGTTGCTTTATTATCACAAAAGAGCTTAATTGGAAAGTTTACTGTGATTTGTAATTCTTCAAAGAGTTTTTTTAACCACGGTCCTTCGCATATCACTTGTGTCACTGCTCTAAACTCAGCCTCTACACTGTTTCTTGCACTACATTTTGCTTTTTACTCCTCCGTGTCACTAAATTTCCCCATACAAAGGTACAATAACCAGTAGTTGATCTTCTATCATCCGTTGAACTACCCAGTCTGCATCTGTGAAGACTTCTACTTTCCTGTTTTCATTCTTTTTGAAGAATAATCATTTTCCAAGTGATGCTTTAAGATATCTGAAAATACTGTATACTGCCTCCATGACTTTGTTTTGGAGAATGCATATATTGGCTTACCATACTTACTGCAAAAGCAATGTCAGGTCTAGTGTGGGACAAGTAGATTAATTTCCCAACTAGTCTTTGATATCTGTCTATCTGAACTGGATCTCCAATATCTTTGTTTTTCCTTGCCAAATCAATAGGTGTGTCATTTGGTTTACATCCAAGCATGCCTATTTCTCTTAAAAGATCATGAATAAACTCTCTTTATGAAACACTGATATCCCTTTTAATCTTGCAACTTCCACCCCTAAGAAGTACCACATATGTCCCAGATCTTTCACTTCAAATTTGGTTGCCAGGCTTCTCTTAAGTCTCTCCATCTCATTTATATTATTTCCAGTTAGGATTATATCGTCTACATAAGCAATCAAGATGGTCTTTTTTCCATTTTCTGACTGTTGGAAGAATATGTTGTGATCTGATTGTCCTTGTTGACAACCTTGATCTTTTAACACTTTTGCAAATCTATCGAACAATGTCCTAGGTGATTGTCTGAGGCCATACAATGATTTCTTGAGTTTGCAAACCCGATTCTCCTCTTCCTTTTTACAAAATCCTATTGGTAGGGTCATAAAGACTTTTTCTTCCAGTTCCTCATTAAGGAATGTATTTTTAATGTCCAATCGTTGTAGAGGCCAATACAAGTAAGCTGCTAAGGAAAGGAGAACCTGATTGTGCTTAACTTGGTTATTGGTGCAAATGTCTCTGTGTATTCAATACCATAAGTTTGCATGTATTCTTTTGCAACAAGATGAGCTTATATCATTCTATTGTTCCATCAACTTTATACTTCACACTGAAGACCCATTTGCATCCTATGGGTTTCATTCCGCTCGGCAGATCCATCACCTCCCAAGTCTCATTTTTTTCCAATGCTCGCATTTCTTCCATTACTTCTTCCCTTTATTTGGGAATTGTCAAAGCCTTCTGTATCCACTTTGGAATTTCAGTCTCGTCAAGATTAGCTGTAAAAGCATGAAATTCCGTAGATAGATTGTTATAAGATGTGAATTTTGAGATGGGGGAAGAGTGCATGATTGATGTTGTTTTCTGAGTGCAATAGGTAGATTGATATCTGAAAACTCTGACTCGTGGAAATCTGGAGCTATCAGTTCCAATTCTCTTGGTGCTGCAAGTATGAGATTCTCCTTGTACTTTGGTTTTTGCTTTCTTGATTATACTAACATCTCCCGATCATTTTGCTCTCCTATATCTCCCCCTGAGTTCAAATGCTCTTGTACATATGGCATATTAGACTTTGGGGAAGAGATTTCAGCTTCAGATAAGATGTCAAGATAAAAAACCTATCTTCATCAGAGTTCTCCCCCTGAAGAAAGGTGTCTTTAAAGTAAGGTGTCTTTTCAAAAAATGTGACATCAAGACTAACAAATAATTTTCTTTGTTGATGGATCATATCATTTGTAGCCTTTTTGGGTAGTGGGTATCTGATGAAAGAACATTTAATGGCACGAGGATCAAGTTTGCTTCGATTATGGGAATGGATATGAGCAAACCCAATACCTTGAAAGAGATGTTTGGTTTTAAACGAGAATTAGGAAATAAATCTTGAAGTTTTTTTAATAGGTGAATTGAAGGACGGGGTGCGATTTGGCATGCAGTTGATAAGTTAAGTTGAAGTCAATATAGCATCTCCCCAAAAACATTTTGGCATATTTGAGGTGAACATTAAGGTTCGGGCAACCTCAATTATATGTCTGTTTTTTCACTCGGCAATCCCATTTTGTTGGGGAGTGTCGACGCATGAACTTTAGTGAATGATTCCATGTTTTTGTAGATGATCTCGTAGAGTGGCATTGAAGTATTCGATACCATTATCAGTGCTTAGGGTTTGAATTTGTGTTTGGAATTGTGTTTGAATCATTTGGTGAAAATTAATGAATAGGAACGCACATCAATTTTTTCTCTTAGTAGGTAAGTCCAACATACTCGAGCGTGATCATCTATGAATGTGACAAACCATTTTGTGTGAGTACGGTTGGGAATGCGTGACAGACCCTACAGATCACTATGAATTATGGTGAAAGGTTTTGATGGTTTATACGTGGATTTTAGGAAAGTAGTACGGTAGTGTTTTGCAAGCTCACATATTTCACATTGAAAGTCAATAGATGTTTTATTCGAGAAAATAGAAGAAAAAACATGTCATAAATATTGTAAGTTCGGGTGGCCCATTCTATAATGCCATAATAGAATATCATCCCTAGAGACAAACTTAGGATTACAAATTTCAGTTTGACATTATTTACCCACATTGGCTTCTTCGAAGTAGTAGAATCCCTCACACTCTTTAACACCGTCAATCATCTTCCCCAATGAAAGATCCTAAAATATACAGTGAGATTGAGTGAAATTAGCAGAGTAATTTGAGTATTTTGTTAATTGACTGACAGATAATTAATTGTATGATAAATTTGGGATATGAAAGACAGATTTTAGGGCTATAGACTCGAAAATTTGAATACTCCCTTTTCCCGCAACAAATGAGAGTGATTGGTCAACAATCTTAACTTTAATATTACCAGCACGAGGTGAGTATGTATTGAACAGATGGTAAGCATCCGTCAAGTGATTGTGTGATCGGAGATACTTGAGTCAATGATCCAAGGGATTTTATATCTTGAGGAAATATTTAAAACTTTTAGAAAACTACCTTTGTGGGCTAAACAAGCTTGAAGGACCATGTGTGGGTTATTGACTAGATATTTGAAGGCTTGAAAATATCTGACAGAGTTGCTCTAGTTGCTTAAAATTGAATGCTGCATTTTTCAGTTTGGTCGACCAATGCCTGATAGCTACGATTTTTAATGATTTTCGTAGTTTCCGATCGATAGGCTTTCCATGTATATCCTAACATGTGTCCTCCCTATGTCCTGGCTTCCGACAGTGTTCACACCAGAGACGTCCTTTTTGTTGCTTTTGACCTGACCCATTTCCAAATTTTGAGGATAAAGCTGCAATTTCCAGTTATATTTCAGGCAGCCATATTTTAAGGACCCGGCAGGCCCAATTTTTGAAGACCTAATTCCACCTTTTAACAGCCTATTATTTCTTGTGTTTGGGCTAAAAATTGAAGGCCCACTTTCAGAAAATGAATGAGGCCCTATCTCTTTTCCAATTCGACGTCCAACTCCCTTTGATAGAAGTGCGATGTCAATTTCTCCAATCGTCCCCTCCATCATCATTACTTTCCGGCGATTCTCCTCTCTTCTCACCTCGGTGAACACTTCTCTAGTTGAAGGTAGCGATCGCCGACCTAATATTCGGCCTCTAACATCATCCAGTTCTCGATCAAGGCCGGCAAGAAACTCTTAGACTCATTCGTTCTCGAGTTTTTTCTTATACTTTACGCTGTCTCTTGGGCATTCCCCCTCTTCTTCACAACTAAGATCGAGTTCTTTCCATAGGGACGTCATCTCCAAGTAATACTCCGTAACCTCTCCGCCTCCTTGTTTGGTTTGCCGCAATCTAGTTTTAATTTCAAATATTTGGGACGAGTTTTCAAAATCTGAGTAGACCTCCTTGACGACTTCCCAAACATCTTTCGCAGTTGGGAGGAAAAGATAAGTTTTTCCTATGGCTGGTTGCATAGAATTCACCGGCCAAGCCATAACTTACGAGTTCTCTAATTTCCACTTCTGCAATAGGATGGCATTTGTAGGCTTTTTTGTTTCTCCAGTCAGGTAACCAAGCTTTCCTTTGCCTTCAATTACCAACTTAATCGATTGAGTCCACTCTCTAAAGTTTTTCCCATTCAGTTTTTCCACCGTAAGCTGGAAGGAAGTATTTTCGACTCCCGTAGAACCCATGGTAGAGTTTATTTCTACCTCAATGTTGGACAATTCAGAGATCATGTAGCTGTTGATGGGATCTTCCATCATTGGCTGTTAGGCTTAGAATAGCCCGGCTTTGATACCATGTAGGGAGAAATTATTTTCTCATATATTGAATGAAGAATGTACAACCTTATTTATAATACAAACGTAAGGAAAGAAGGAAATAAATCTCCTAAATTAGGAGACGAGAAAAGATTCCTAATTAGTACAGCTAACTAAGACAAAAACTAAACATGGTACAAAGAATTAATCAATTACAATATTACTCTTGATTTTCTACATATGTAATCCCAAAAGTGAAAACCGAAGTCGAACCTTTTTGTGGATAGTAAGGCCTATCTTTGTGATTGCTGAAATTGTTTTTCGAGTTGGAGTGAAATTGATGATCTACGTGAAGAATTAGAAATGATGGATTTAGAAATTGGAGAGGATAATCCTGAGTTGTTAAGTACAGATGAAATGAACTAGAAATGTGAAAATTTTGATTTGATGGTGGTGGTGGCGATTTATGGTGCGTCTCATGGGAGCTGGGTTGTTGTGGCCAGTTGACAATGGTGCTGATGTTGGTCCCAGCAGTGGTGGGGTTTGAAGGAGCGAACCGTTTTCTATTTTTCGATTTTTTTTTATTTTTATTTTTGGGAAAGAAGATGAAGTGAAGTGGGATGGGGTGAAAAATAAAGTTTTAAAGATTTGAGATTGCAGGTAACACATAAAAAAAATGGATTTAATTTGTAAAAAAAATAAAAAAGTCTAATTGCATATGCTCATTTGTTCCTGATGCATGTCCTCACATCTATTTGTTTTGCAGCCAAAAGAAAATAAAGAGAAGAAAAGTGCAAGTATTCCTTTTCTTTTCGCCTTATATGAGTCATATTATTATATTTTCGTGGACAATAGCACATGCAACTTATAATAAGACTTCATACATTGAACAAACTTAATTCCCAATCTTATGCTTACCTCTTTGAATCTCAGAAGAATTAAATTTGACACAGAAGCAGGTTTCACGCAATCCCATCTGAAATGATACCATGTATTGAGGAAGATGAGTAAATTTTAATATACAAGATATTGTTTAATTTGCAAAGAAATGCACACTTCAACAATACACTAGAAAATACACATGATAATAGTTAACATGAAATGGAAATCAAAGGAATGTGTAATAATGAAGTCATTTTTTCCCCCGTTAACATGTTAAATTAGTATGTAGTTGAGTTCCTCACGATTTAGTTGAAAAGAGCTCAAGTTTGATTTGAAATGTCAATCAAATGGAAAAGAATAAAATATAGGGTTAGCATAGGAAAGTTTGAAGCGATTCCAACAAAACGATCCAACTATAGTCTATACACAAAGTTAACCATTTTTGGCTTGGCTACAAGGTTTGCCTGATTTCCAATTTTTTGTTGACTTCAAATATCATAGAAAGAGCAATTATATGTAAAGAATAAAACAAATACTTGCACACAAAGGAGAGAGACAAAAATAAAAATAAAAAAATAAAAAGGAATCTTAGCGAGGTGAAATGTCAAGTTGATGCATAATTTTCTAGAGTTTTCCAGTGCACGGATTATTAATTAAGTCAATGTATTAGTGAGTCAGTCAGTCAAATGGTTGCATGGGGGAATAGAGGAGTCATTATTAGAGTTATTAGTCTAGTAACAATTTACTGAATTAAGCACCAGATTAGAGCAATTCAGAATGCAGGGACCTACTGCTCAGACCATTGGGAAACAAAGAGACCAACAACTTTGTGTAAATCAGCGTGTGAATTGAAGAGAGCAACTTGCACAATGGAGATATCAACAACAACAGCCCACTCTGGAGGATGATTCCGATGAAGAAGCTGATTTTCAAAATCTGAGGGCGTCCTATGCCTAATTATAACACAGAACGAGATCAAAGTCCGCGTATTAGGGCGGATATACCAGATTTCACTGGAGAACAACTCGAGGACGTTTTGGACTGGCTAAAAGAAGTTGAGAGGATTTTTGAATATCTTGAGCCAATGGACAACCAGAAAGTTAAGATGGCAGCAAATTTAAAGGCTACGCATCCTCATGGTGGCAACAACTTCAAATGATGAGGTTCAATTGGGCAAGGACAGGATCCAGCCTTGGGACAAGATGCAGCGATTGGTTCGAAAACAATTCCTCCCTTAATTACGAAAGAATTCTATTTGAGAACTATCAATCACTTGCACAAGGTTCTAGTTCCGTTCTACAGTACAAAAATGATTTTCACAAGATGCAACTCATGTACACCTGACTGAATCTGAAACACAGGTAATCCATCGTTATCTGATGGGTTTAAAGCCAAGTGTCAGGAATCTGGTGGAATTGAAACCATGTTGGACTTTACCTAGCACAGTGCAGTTGGCATTTAAGGTGGAAGCTCAGTTGGCACAATCATTCAACAACCGCTCCAATCAAATTTCTAAAGAGCCATTCCAAACGGCAGCTAATCAAAGGAGGGAAACAATGGGCAGAAGCTTGGTGCGGTTTCTAATGGCTTGCAGAAAAATGGAACAGTTTCTAATTCTCATGTTCGTGGCATCGGTCGGGGCGTGGGATAGTCAATACAAACAGCTCTGCACCTTTTCCGTTTGGATAGAACAAAGTAATATGCTATTAAGTGTGCAAAAGAGGGGCACAAGTCTTCCCATTGCCGAAGGGCTGCAAACAACTTACTGGTTGATGAAGAGGCAATTAATAATGAGGGACAATATGATGATACAAATGAAGATGAAGGGTTGTTGCATTTCACAGAAGAGGATGTTACTTATGAAGACCAAGATCTTCCAAATCTGGTGGTGCGTCGTGCAATGCTAACACGAAAAGCTATAGAAGACATCTGGTTGCGGAATAACGTCTTTCGAACATGATGCTCTTCTCATGGGCCGTAGTTGCAATGTTATTTTGACGGGGAAAGCTGTGAAAACTTAGTATCAAGAGAAATGGTGACGAAACTAAATCTTAAAGTTCAACCACACCCAAGGCCATATCGAGTTGCCTGGTTCAAAAAAGGAGGCGAGGTGAGAGTAACACAACAATGTGTTGCTCCTTTTTCTACTAGTAAAAACTATTCAGATGAAGTATTGTGCGATGTAGTAGATATGGAAGCTTGTCACATACTATTAGGTCTGCAATGGCAATTGATAACAAAACTATCCACAGTGGGGAGAAGAACATCCACACAAACTACAAGAATGGAGTTAAGGTGGTTCTTGCATCCATGAAAGATGAAGAATATCCTAATCCTATATCTGAAAAAATAAAAATTGAAGGGCATGCATACTTAACCACCAAGAAATTCTTACTGGAATTAGCAGCCAATGAATTAGTATATGTGTTTTTAGTTAAAGAAGCACAAGAAAAACAGCCAATCATTCCTGCTGAACTGGGAGTCTTATTGAAGGAGTTCGAGGAGGTAATTCCTACAGATTTACCAGACGGGTTGCCTCCAAAAAGAGGGATACAACACCACATTGATTTAATACCTGGATCTAGTCTCCCAAATACGATCGGATGAGCTCAAAAGAGAGTGAAGAGTTGCAGAGGCAAGTTGGAAGAATTATTGAAAAAAGGTACATCAAGGAATCCATGAGCCCATGCGCAGTCCCTGCACTTTTAACGCCAAAGAAAGACGGTATACGGAGGATGTGTGTTGATAGTCGAGCTATCAATAAAATAACGGTAAAATATTGCTTACCAATACCTCGGTTAGATGATATGTTGCATGGGGCAAAAGTGTTTTCAAAGAACGATCTTAAAAGTAGGTACCATCAAATTAAAATTCAGGAGGGCGATGAGTGGAAGACAGCATTCAAAAATTAGGATGGTCTATATGTATGGATGGTAACGCCTTTAGGTCTATCAAATGCCCCAAGCACCTTCATGTGTTTGATGAACCATGTTCTAAAACCATTCATTGGGGAGCTCATCAAAGGAATCGCATTTTTTGCACTTGAGAAAGCTTTTAGATGTTCTGCATGAAGAGAGACTTTATGCCAATATGAAGAAATGCGAGTTTCTTGCGGATGCATTGTTGTTTTTAGGCTACATAGTAATTGCTAAAGGAATAAAGATGGATGACAGCAAAATTGAAGCAATTAGAAGCTGGCCAACACCACCTACAGTAAGTGACTTGCGTAGCTTCCATGGGTTAGCAACATTTTACCAGGAGGTTTATAAAAAATTTCAGAACCATAATTGCTCCTGTAACAGATTTTATGAAGAAAGGAAAGTTCAAATGGACAAAGCGGGCTGATGAAAGTTTTAAACTGATCAAAGACAATATCTGTACAGCCCCCTTTCTTGCACTTCCAGATTTTGATAAAATTTTTGAAGTAGAGTGTGATGCATCCGGAATTGGGATTGGGGCTGTTCATAGCCAAGAAAACAGACCTATTGCATTTTACAGCGAGAAGTTAAATGACACGAGACATCACAGCATTTATGATCAGGAGTTTTACGCGATTTTTCAAGCTTTTAGACATTGGCAGCACGCGATTGTTCAAGCTTTAAGACATTGGCAGCACTATTTGATAGAAAGGGAGTTCATTCTATTCTCGGACCATGATGCCTTAGAGTATATAAATAGCCAACAAAAGCTAAATAGCAGACATGCAAGGTGGGCTTTCCTTTCTCCACAGATTTTCATTTGTCTTGAAGCAGAAATTGGCATTATTAATAAGGTGGCCGATGCACTTAGCCGAAGAACCATGTTGCTAGCAAGCATGTCTACAACTACTGTTGGATTTGATTCTCAGGGACTTGTATCCCGTCGACCATTTCTTTAGTTCAACTTGGAAAGATTGTATGTGTTGCACGATGGATTTTTTTCCAAAGGAGAACAGCTATGCATCCCTGATTCTTCATTAAAAGAAAAGCTTATTGATGAGGACATCATTTTTATTTATTTTCTAGTTGGACATTATTTATGTTTTAGATTCTATTTACGTAATTGGGTTTGTGTTAGCCCAAACCCGTTCTAAGTAGGGTTTTGTCTTTACTATTTAAATCTAATTTTTCATGTAATTTCATTAGTTTTGGATAAATATGAATTATTGAGATTGGTTGTGGCATTTCCGTTCTCTCCCCCCTTCCCCTAAATTTCTACTTCTTCTCCGGTTTCTTCCCCTATTCTCTCCAGTGTCTCCTCCTTTCTTGCTGCCTCTTCTTTATTCTATATCAAATTTGGTATCAAAGCCGAATTTTAGGTATTTCCTCTCATACAATCCAAAATTTCTTCTTATTTTCTTCTCAAAATTTGTTGGAACAACACAATTGAAATAGATTTAGCATAAAAGTAGCGTTTTCCATTTTTTTTGTTCTCGGACAAAAAAAACGTGTTATTGTTCACAAGTACTATTCACACCCGAAAAATTCAATTTTAGTATTTTCAATTCCAAAAAAAAGAGTTATTGTTCACTGGAGAAAAAAAGAAAAAAAAATTAGTTTTAGTATTTTTCATCATTTTCTGCTCAAAAAAAAAAAAAATTCAATTTTAGTATTTTAGGCATTTGTTGCTGTTTAGTGCTGTTTCAGAAATTTTCTATCCTAACAACCTCACCTAAATATTCCTTTTATCCTTAGCCAAACCCACTTAGCCCAATAACCTCCAAAACCCAGTTAACTCAACCCATTACCCCTTCCATACACAACCCACTTCCCATCATAATCATCCAACCACTTACTTCTAGTCTAATTCCAATATCTCAAAAATAACCCAACCCATTACTTGAATCAAAATAAATCAGCCCACTTAACACATTATCACATCCCATTTAACACAAACGACCAACAACAGGGATCAATTTCACTTGCCCGCCAGTTATAACTCCAACGCACAACAGAGCCAGAGCAATAACCAGTATAAATCACAGTCAATAGGAAGTGACTTCTGGAATGGAAGACATCTGCAAAGAAGGATAGGACACAAGCATAACTGGGGTCCACATTTCAGAAATTCAAGTAACTAAACAACAGGGAGTCCTTGATCTCTATTTAGTATTGATTTATATTACTGCTTCATTGTTAAATTGCATCAATTGAAATCTTTGTGTAACTGTTATTTTGATATTTTAGCCTTAACCTATTTGATTGGAATAACTGAACGAATTGACCCCATTGTTCCCGATTACCCCACGTGATTAGACCTGTCATTTGTACTTTTGCTTTTTATTTTATTTGTATCAGCATTATTAGGTTGCCAAGTTCGGACTTACATAATCCCATTTTTAAGTTAATCAAAGGAAAAAAAAAGAGAGAGATTAAAAAAAAAAGCTCAAATTGTTATTTTCCATTGCTTGCACTTATTGTTCACTGATCTCACCATTGCACATCATTTAGCTGCTAATACAATGCATGCATAGTGGTCCACTGGTTGTCTTGTCACTTCTAGTTTCAGTACCCAAACATGAACTCTTCACAATTTGATGAACTCACTCGACAAATAGCAGCCATCCAAACCCAGATGACTGCTACTCTTCAACAAAGTAAGGCCCTCTTCGCTAGTCTGAACAACTTTAAGCAAATCCCTCATTCGATTGATGTTAATAATTCTAAAGTGTCTCACAATAGACGATATCATCGTCGACAAGGTGATCAAAAATATTTTCAACACGATTGTAGGGATAGGGATCAAGTTCGTGAGCGAGAACGAGACCATGGTCGTCATGGTACTCATTCTCTTTCTCGTCATAAGGAGCGTTTCTTTAGAGACATTAAATTAGATAATCCTACATTCGATGGTTGCTTAAACATGAAATTTTTACTCAATGGAACACCCTTACACAAGGAAATAGGCTAGTAACTGAGTACACTGCTCAATTTGAGGAATTTCGAATGAAATGTCATGTCGTTGAGGATGAGGCCCTGACCTTGAGTAGGTTTATACAAGGTCTAAAAGATGAACTTAGGCGTCAGCTTTTCTTTCGAGGCGTCGCTACTCTTGATCACGCTTATTCTTTAGCCCAAGATTATAAGTTGATTATTAATACTCCATATGAAAGGCGCAATCACCATCGTTCACCCATCTCATTAGCGCCACATCATCATAAGTCTGTCATAGAACCTTCCCCGTCTAGTGTGCCTCCCATTTGGAAAAATAAGTGTAAAGGTTGTGAAAGTCCAAACACCGTTTTACTTCCTTTGATGATCCATTTCTATTTAGCTTTGTGGACCTCCAACTTGACTATGTTGATATTTCTACTTCAATATCATCTATCACAACACACAAAGATAAAATTGATATTATTTTAGATGAATGTATTGTATTGACCAATGATGGCAAGATTTAGTACTTCCTTGTTTGTTGGGTAGATCGACGTACTTCTTATGCTCCTCATTATGTACAATCATGTGAAAATTTTGAAGATAAGGTACATGAGTATTGGTTATTTGAAGTGGTTAGAAGGAAAGACCGCCCCCTTGGCCAGATCATATTCTTGGGAATAAGCTACAGTTTTCAATACAATCAATCATGGAATTTCGATACTTGGTTCGTCAGAAAGATCGTCCCTCGTGGCTTGACTTGAAGCATTTGGAGTATCAGATTGAGTGCAGCCTATAGTGAGCTATCAACTCGACAGAGTCGAGTTTTTCTCCCATCCCAGGAGAGTTGATGAGGACATCATTTTTATTTATTTTCTAGTTGGACTTTATTTATGTTTTAGATTCTATTTATGTAATTAGGCTTGTGTTAGCCCAAGCCCATTCTATGTAGGTTTTGTCTTTACTATTTAAACCTAATTTTGCATGTAATTTCATTAATTTTGAATGAATATTGAGATTGTTTGTGGCGTTTCTTTTCTCTTCCCCCTTCCCCTAAATTTCTACTACTTCTCCAGTTTCTTTCCCCATTCTCTACGGTTTCTCCCCCTTTCTTGCTGCCCTCTTCTTTATCCTACATCACTTATCCTAGAGATGCACGGTGGAGGATTAGGCGGACATTTTGGGCATGACAAAACCTATGCAATGCTTGAGCAAAAATATTTTTAGCCAACAATGAGGCATGATGTGTACAAAATGGTTGACAGGTGTAGGATTTGCCAAGAATCCACAGGGAAAATTCAGAATACTGGATTTTACACCCCGTTACCTATGCCAACAGCACCATGGGAGGACGCAACACGCAAGTATAAATTTTGTTTTGGGGCTACCAAGAATACAAAGGGGAATAGACTCGATATTTGTGGTAGTTGATCGATTTTCTAAAATGGCACATTTTATTTGCTGCAAAAGAACATCAGATGCAAATCATATCGCAAATCTTTACTCCGAGGAAGTTGTCTGCTTACATGGAGTACCCAAGACCATCATTTCTGATCGAAATCTAAATTTCTGTCACATTTTTGGAGTGATTTGTAGAAAAAGCTTGGGACTGGCTTGCAATACAGTAGTTCCCATCATCCCCAAACAGATGAGCGAACAGAGGTTGTGAATAGAAGCTTGGGAAATCTATTACGACGCTTAGTTGGTGAAAATCCAAACAATGGGAATCTGTAATTGCACGAGCGAAATTTGCTTATAACTATTCAAAGAACAGAAGTACGGGTAAAAATCCGTTTGAGATAGTTTATGGTAAACATCCTACTCATTTCTTTGATTTAGCACCAATAGCAAAACTTGGCAAGAGTAGTTTGAAAAGAAGAAACATGGCTGAAGCAATAAAAGAAATTCATGATCAAATCAGGTTGAAGATTGAGGAAGCAAATGCAAAATACAAGAATCATGCTGATAAGGAGTGCGGTCAAACCTTTCATGAAGGAGAAATGGTAATGTTTATTTGCGAAAGGAGAGGATATCCACTTGGTGCTTATTCGAAACTCAGCAAGAAAATGATTGAGCCCTACTGCATTGTCAAAAAGATTGGAGAAAATGCTTATGAAATCGACCTACCTAAACAAGTGGGCATTAATCGAACATTTAATGTTTTAGACTTGTACCAATATCATGGAGATAAAGGAACTGCAAGCAAACTCGAGGGCAAGTTTTCCTCGATGAGGGGAGATTGATGCATAATTTTCCAGAGTTCTCTAGTGCACATATTATTAATTAAGTCAATGTATTAATGAGTCAGACAATCAAATGGTTGCATGGAGGAATTGAGGAGTCGTTATTAGAGTTATTAGTCTAGTAAATTTAAGAATCTAGGAAAAGTAATATGAGTCTAAACTAGTATAAGTTGAATGTTATGTCTATAGTAAGGGGTAGAATGAAAAGTCTCATTTGAATATTATTAAGTTAAATCTCCCTAAGAAATCTTGGCTCCAACGGCGTTTGGAGTATTCTAAGAGACTATGATGCAAAATTCCAAGAATAAGCTAGTTAACGTGGAAAGGCTTAATGTCCATCTCATAAAATTCTGACCTTTTTTCTTCTTAAAAAACATGTATCGTGTATAGTAAATTATACATCTGATAAAGGTAATAGAAACCAAAAGGTTGTGTCATGGCTTCTTGACAGCACAATCAAGATGTAGCCTTCCAAGACAACAGCATGAAAAGTCAGTGCTCAAAGAAACATATAAAAGTGTGGCATATTTCCACGAGATGACTGCAATCAAATGGATACAATTAAAAGAAAGCAAGAGAGCAGGTCAAATAGGTCTGAATAGGTAGAGGGTTATTAGATGCATGGAACTCACTGATACATAAGATCTAAAAATAGGCTAATAAATGTGACTGTCAGTATTTATTGGTTTTATGGAAACAATAGATTGACAGCTCATACCCATAACTTAGAATTCAGGACAGGAAGATTTGTTTAACTAAAGACACTATAAGTAATATTATTGACTCATCATCTAACTTTCCCTTCCATTTGTCATTTCATAACTGCAATCTAATCAATCACAAAATATTGATAAGAAGCTAAAACCTTTTCCAACCGGCTTCCACGCCAAATTAGGAACTAAAGGTGACTATTTGAGCAACTAGCACAGACATGTTTATAGCAGGGTGTATTAAGTATAAGCCCTGAACATTTTTTGGTTATGACAAGCAACTTTGTTTTTCACAAACCTCCATACCTCACAAGCATTAACTCATTGACAGATCGCCACATTCCACGTCCAACATCTTTAGGTGCCTGATCTCTTGCACTTCGTCCATGCCACAATTCTTTGGCTATATACATGACTTCTTCGACATCCACCTAGAAGAATTATAAAACATGTCAAGTATGTACACATTCTTCAATAACACACGATTCATTCAATTTTTTAATGAAGCTACAGCTCAAGTTACAGTAGATTACACAAGTTAAGGTTGCTCGGTTTGCATAACCTATCATTAGTTAATTTAATTTCTAGTTACTTCCTATATAGTTTTTTTTTTTGTTTTTTTTCTTTTCTTTTTTTTTTTCTTTTGTTAAAGTAATCAAATATTTTATTAATCACGGATAATACACAGGAAGTGTATTATCAATTTATACAAGAGAGAAATGACATAAAGTTGGACAACCCATCTATACGAGTAATAGCCACAGCATTAAACCAATTATACAAGGTCAGATAAAATGATTATTTGATATGCCCTGTAGTCTTTGAATGATCGTTAAAACATCGACTGTTTTTCTTCCTCCACATACCAGACAATGCACCTTGGAATGAGATCCCATACAAGCTTGCTATCCTATTATGAAATTTTCTCCTCCATGCTTTTAATACATCCTCCAAACACCGCGGAAAAACCCAAACCCTATGTTGAGAAGTTAGAATATCGATCCACAGTAAACAAGCAACGTCATAGTGAAGGAACAAATGGTCAATCGTCTCTCAATTCCTCCTACACATATAACACCACTCCGTAACATAAAAGTCCCTTATTCGAAGGTTATCCACCGTTAACACCCGTCCTTTCACAATCATCTATAGTAAAAATGCCACTTGAGGGGGCAGTTTACATTTCTATACCATCTTACAGGGAAATGAGCTCTCCCCAGGTCTCAATAAGGACCTAAAATAAGTACCAACAGAGAAAATACCATCCCATGCCAAACTCCACCTGCTACAATCACCCTCTCCTACCCTAATGCGCGCCTGATACAAGGTTATAAGCATCGCATAATCATCCAACTCCCAATCCTACAAACCCCTCCAAAACGCAATGTTCTAGTCGATATTCCCATTATGTATATGTAAAACCTCGTTCACTATAGCAGATGGCATCAGAGCAATATGATACAGAAAAGGAAACTCCACTCTTAACGATCGATTTTCACACCAACAATCTTGCCAAAATTTGATAGTACTGTCATTCCCCACCACAAACGTCAATCTATCCCAACAGTCTCTCCATCCGCATCGGTTATACTTCCACACACTCATCCCATAAGAACTACGACCCTCAACTGAGCACCATCCTCCCTCCATAACACCATATTTCGCCTCTATAATTTCTCTCCAAAAGTTCTCCCTCTCCACGCCAAATCTCCACAACCATTTACCTAACAAAGCCTTATTAAACACTACAAGACTTCTCAATTCGAGGCCTCATTCCTTATGGGAGAACAAACTGCTTCCCAATTGACCAAGTGAAGTTTCCTCTCCTCTGCTAACCTTCCCCATTGAAACTCCCTTTGAATCCTCTCTAATCTTTTTACTACTCAGACGAGAATAAGAAACAATGACAAGAAATAAGTAGGGAGGTTCGATAGGATGGACCTAACGAGGGTAAGACGGCCTTCCCTTGAGAGGTGCATACGTGTCCAACTCACTACCCTCCTTTCCACCTTTTCCACAATGCTGTTCCAAATATGTATACTTTTAAATCGTGCTCCTAGGGGAATCCAAGATATGACATAGGCAGCTATGCTACTCTATAACCCGATATAGAGGCCAACTCCACATTATCGACATCTCCCACTTTGATAGCCTAAGATTTCCTCAAATTTATCTTCAATCCAGGTATAGCTTCAAAGCAAAGAAGTAGACGATGCAAGTTCCCGAATTGCTCAGCATCTGTATCACAGAAGATTAATGTATCATCTGCAAATAGCAAATGAGATACCTGCACTTGGTCAATCATAAAGCCCCTTGACAAGCTTTCCCCCACAGCCTTCTCAAGCATCCTACTGAAAGCCTCCATAACAATAACAAACAGCAGTGGAAACAAAGGATCCCTTTGCCTCAAACCTCTACTACTCCGGAAATAACCCTTAGGAGTGCCATTCACCAAAACAGAAAAGGAAACCGTAGAGATACAAAATTGAATCCATCTGCACCACTTATCCCCGAAACCACATCTTTTGAGCATATACAGGAGAAATCCCCAGTTCACGTGGTCATAAGCTTTTTGAGTATCAAGCTTACATAACATCTCTGGAATCCCTATGCGCAATCCCAAGTCAATACATTCATTTGCTATAAGTTTGATAAAAGCATTCTGAAATTTAGAAATCACTTTCCCCAACACCTCTTTTAATCTATTTTCCAATACCTTTGCAATACTCTTATACACCCCACTGACTAAACTGATGGGACGAAAATCTTTAATATTTGATGTTCCCGGTTTCTTTGGAATCAACATAATAAATGTAGCGTTAGAACTTCCTAAGAACCTGCTACACTGAAAGAAGTAAAGACATCAATAATGTCCGATCGCACCACTTTCCAACAAGCCTTATAAAATGATAACAAGAATCCATCTGGTCCTAGGGCCTTATTGTCATTCACGCTGAACACCACCTCCTTAATCTCATCCTCCCCAAATGGTCCCTATAACCAACTGGCATCCTCTTCAATAATAGCAGAAATATCTAACCCCTCCAAGTTAGGTCTCCAGTCAAACTGCTCTCGATAAAGATTTTGATAGAAACTTACTATTTGGGTCTCAATATCCCGTGGGTACCCATAAGTAACACCATCTACCTCCAACAATGTAATAGAATTGTTACGCCTGTTGGAATTAGCGACCCTATGGAAAAACTGTGTACACTTATCCCCTGCTTCAACCACTTGACCCTAGATTTCTGAAGCTAAGCTATTTTGACGCAACGAAATAAAGAAATTCAAGCGAAAATTTTGAAATCACGAAATTTGGAATCCACCAAATTAAAGAAAAAATAAACTTCATGAATTTTATAATGAATAATAATGAAAAAACGAACTAACCCCTTATTTATAAGGGTTTACATGGAAACGTAATTTAAAACAATTAAAAGTAATGAAAACAAATAAACGAATTGACAAAAATAGTGCCAAAACTTTAAAAATCAGTCTTCGAGTCCTAAACGAATTCGAATGGCCAAAATTCATCGTACATCACAACGTAGTTTTGAGTATTATTTTCCTCGTCGTTCTCTTTCCAAAATGGTCTTATGGGCCCGATCCGAAATTAAGATGTTCTATTTCTACTAGTACACTTTTTTCAACATACCCATTATATCCTTCATCAAATTTTCTCCATCTCTACCAACTCTCCCCTTAATTCTCCATCTCTCTCCCTCTCATCCCCTATCAGTCCTTAACTCTCCTCCCTCCTATCCAGCTCTTCTAATTCTGAAATACATTGCTTTTTACGGCAATTAACATCTCCCACTACCTCTTTATTCCACCTCTTTATATCCCTCTTCAAGAATTTCAATTTCTGATCCAACACAAAACTGGGAGACCCCTAAACTCGTAACCTGCCCACCAATCTCGTATTCACTCCCTAAAGCCTTCTACTTTTAGCCACATCTTTTCAAACCTAAAAAGCCTCATTTACTACATAGAAGCCGATGAACTCAAAATATCGCATCGAATATGATTAGTTCGACAACAGAGGAAAACAACTGAATCTTCAATTCAATAACTAGATTGCAGAACACAGCTTTTGGCAGCAGAGAAAGATTCAGTGCTAGGAACCCCATCAGTGTTTGCTGTAACCTCAAGCCTTTAAAAGTTAAGCCATATTGGTACTGGCACTTGGAACATCTTCGTATCATCAAGTTCTAGGATTCTGCTGACGCAATTCTCCCTTCCTTTTCTAACCCTCTATCTGCCTTTCCAATTAATTAAAAGGAACCTTGAGCATGTTAGATGCTGAAGTACAACTGTTTTTATTGTGGCAGCATAAATCTTATTACATTTTCTGTATAAATATGAGCAAAAATAATTGTAACTAATGAGAAAAACAGAGCAGCAACCTAATCAAATTTAGAAGTGTAGTAAGAAATTTAGAGAGAAAATGCAGAATTGGGTACCTGAACTTGCATAGCTGTACCATATAGTAACTCTTCATGCTCAATAAGGCGCTGATGGAGCACTTGATAATGATCCATATCAAAATTCACCACTGGCTCCATATGAACTTGAACTCCTGCTAGTTGGGTCGCAGTGTAGGAAGCCATTACTTGTCCAAAAATAGCAGGTATGGTTCCCAGGACTGGAATGATACGAACCCGAAACCCTGGTACTATCTGATAATCAATTTCAGTATTATTGTTAAACTTTCTAATAATTCAAAAGATAAGAATGTAACTAGCTGAAGGAGAAAGATAATACTAAAATAGGAAAACAGTAAATTGCCAGTCGATAAAAACTGTGTAAAAATCAACCTCTTTGTTGTAAATAAAATATACAAAAATAATATGGCAATATATATTTTTCTATTAAAAGAATCTTCTATTAATTGAAAAAAACCCAAGTGCTTACTTGATAATCTGAAGGATTTTCTTCTTCTCCAGTTGGTCCTTTAAATGGAAGCAGCTTTGCCTTGGGTTTCTCTAATGAAAATACTACAGGAATGCCGCCTTCAATACCATAATCTTTTTTTAAACGGTGTCTGACCTGCTAACTAGAGTATATAAGAGCTCCATTTGGCCAGTTGGGTAATATTACAAGCAATGTTATGTCATTTGCTGAATACCCAAGCAACAGTCCATTAAATTTGTATGCCAGGCTCATCCCGAATAAATAATCATGGGAACGAACAGAGTAATTAAGATCATATAATAACAGCAAAAAATCAAATTTTTGAAAGGAGATTTGCAAAAGAAATGAATAAGCAGCGACATTAGAATTCTGCGGACATGGATAGAAGTTATCCTGATCTCAAGAACCAGAAACTGGGTATCAAATATCAATCCACACGATGCAATATCCAGATTGCATCGGCTTTCAGTATAATCTAGACAAAAGCTTACTTGTCTGTAAATAGATGGAACATAACGAGAATTTACAATTTGAATTGACCAAAATTTTTGGTAGCCATCGTATCTATTTGACATAGAACACAAGAGAACAAGAACGAGACTCATGGAAGAACGGGAAAGGGGATAGGAACCAGAGACACGAGAAAGAAGAAAGAGAAGCAAAAATTGGAGGAGAGAATTATAGTTTTACATAAAAATAAGTCCAAGTATTACAATGCAAATATCCTCTTTATATAGGGTTGCAAGAAGTATTATTTAACTAGGAAAACAACTTAATATAAATAATATAATATACTATAAATAGTTTTAACTAAACCCTATTTACTTCTCCTAAAATGAGAATCTAAACTTAGAATGTCTTCATATAATATATCTATTAGAATCTCCATCACTTCATTATTTATTTCAGAGAAACCCCCAATTTGTTGGACTAGCAGGTAGCTCGGGGCATTCATCTTGATAGTCTACCACTGCCTCCATCTTGACTTCCTTCTATTGCATCAAAATAGTATCGATGTAGAAGCCAAATACCAATCCCAGAGCTTTGCATCATGAAGCTTTACTCATTAATGTTCAGGTGTTAGAATTAGCCCATGGAAGACTTGGTAAGCTGCTATGATTTGTGTCATCCCCATTTCCTCACAATAGTGCAAAAAGCACATATAATTTATCAGGTCTATCTACTACTAACTGAGAGTAGGTCTTCCTCTTTTTCCTTTTTTAGTTAAGAGGTTTCCTCATTTCTCATTCCTCTTGAGTACATTTTGCATCTTATTGCTTTTCTCCTACATTCATGATAAGATTATTTAAAATGTAAAGGCAAAATTTCGTCCCACCATTTTTGAAGCCATTGATTGATATCAAGTGTCAAAATTAACCATAGAGGACTAGAGAAAATACTATCTACACCAGTTCAGTGTGAATAGTCCATGTCATTTCAGAAGCTAATAAAGCATCATTATCAAATCTGATTTGAGAAGATAACCGTCTCCGACAATATAATTTACTTCAGTTGGTGCATAAGGTAACAGTGAATTTCACATAATTAGCATTTCACGATGAGACAAACCAAGTTAATGAAGTGAGGAAAGTATTTGATTGCAATTATTTTCCAAACTCTCACAAAACCAAAAGAAAGAAATAACTTAGATCAAGTTCAATCATATGTATGGCCTTATTTGATCTAGAAAATAGCAATAGTTGACAAGTGATAATTATATATTTATCTTATTCTGCCTTTTGACCCAAGGACATTTTATAATGCACCGACTGCATCAAAAGTCAATGTTAGTGCTCATTTCTCAATGTCATGTGGATGGAACTGATAAGGAACCAGGATGTTCGCCATTAAAAGTTTTAATGCGACATGATTGAAGAGGGTCTTGACCTATAAAAAATGAGAAATATATCTCGAACATGAACATAAAACCACAAGTTAAAATCATTACTGCTCGAGATAATGGATCATTGATTGACTCTCTCAAGTCGGCAACACGTATTCTTGTCGGATCAGCTCTTGCTCCAGCTCCTGTTGCAGATAAAACTTTCAGACCCTTTCGTACACATGCAGCAAGAAGTGCAACCTATTATACATGATAGAAAGCAACTTCAGACATTTAAAGTGCCAGTTAATATCATGAACAGTGACAGTCCTTAAGGTACAGCAAAACCAGTGCCTGGGTACAAATTTCACTAAGGAAATAGTAAACTACATAGCTTACAAGTGCCTTCACAACATAAATAATATGAACAGGTTGTATGTAATTGTCATTTACATTTATAATGATTCTTTTATACTGACAAACTGAGAATAAAATCCCACGAACATAAGGTCACGTACAATTTAGCAAGTTCAATAAATTAGAATCACCTAACAAATTCATCAAGCATGGAAATGAAATAAAGAAAGTCGAGTTGTTCCTTGCGCTGACTACAGGGTCTAAATGCAAACACCTATTGGATTACAAGAAGGCAGTGACAATTGAACCTCCTATAATGTATTCATCACATATATAATGAATTACATATTCTACCTAAATTGCTCTTTACCTACAGAAATAAACAATGAAGATCCTATAGCAAGATAACAGGAGATTAATATATCTATCAAGGATTAATGCTTCCATAATTTGAATATAAGTGTAAGCAAAAAAGTCAAGAAACGTGTACAGCCACCTTAGTGTCAATATTATCAATGCAATCTAGGACAAAATCAGGATTCCCAGAAAGAATTTCTTCTTCAGATGATGAATCATACAACAGCACTTTTGCATCAACATGGCTCTCTGGGAAAATTGTCGAGAAATGCTTCTTGAGGCATAAGGCTTTGGGGGTGCCAACATCCTCTCTTGTTGCAACAGCATGTCTATTTAATGATGAAACAGAGACCTTCAGAACCAATCATGTAGTGATTATCAATCCTTGATGAAAGATAGACATAAAAAATAAAGAGTGTTCAACATTTTAAGCAAATCAAGACTCCTCAAAAATATTGGCTAATTTGAAATGTATCTCATTTGGACCCATACCGTCGATTCAGGTGGTTCACTAACGGGTGCTTAAGTAAGAACAATGGTAGAGGTCACAAGGGAGAAAAAACAGTAATATGGTAACTAACACCAAAATTTTATCTGTGTACCAGCTCAATCACATTCAAATTCTGCCAGAAAGTTATCATTTAATCCAATATAAAAATTTCATACGATGTTGAAGACTGGATAAACTTGAAAATAAGAAAATAGGTTATTTATTTAAATGGTATTCAGCACGATCCCAGATTTCTTTTTTTTTTAATTATTTTAATCAAGGCCAAGCAGAACTTTATAAATGAGTGGCAATGAGACTTGAACTGAGGAACTCCTACCTACACTAGTATACCATGTTGAACCAATACATCTAAAAGCTTGAGCCACTAGAGGGAGGTCCAATTTAATTTTTAAAATTGTCTTCGAAATCATGCACAAAACAAAATTATCAATCAGTTTGTCAGTTCACAAGAAGAGTGAAAATATCATTATAATTTGCTGGATTGTACATATATAATAATAAATCACATAGTAGGTTCAAGTACTCGTATATCTGCACACTGAGGTACTATTGTACTCCAACTGCTCTATGCCACAAGCAGGTACGTAAAAAGTACTCTGATACCGAATAACATTATAACCATTGTTAAACCTAGAATGGTCACTTTTTAGTAGTGACCTTTTAGTACGAAGTCAGTATATGATTACATTAAGATGAGATATGATATCGAACTTAAGGAGTGTTATGAGTAAAATGAATTGATAGGAAGCTGAAAAAGCTATGCATCTTCTCTTTTTGGTAATCAGATCATTATATTGCCGGAAGTGTTTTAAATTATTATAGAAACAATGAAATACATCCAATTTCTGAGAAAGTATTTCTTCTTACACAATCATAGCAGAGCATACTGATTTTCAACCAAATTTACAAATTACAGGATAGTAAAAATTCTCTTAGTACCGTTCTACTATATGCCAAACTGCCAGTTTTCCCCAATGCTCAGGTAATCCGTAATCATTATGGTTTCATTGGATAAATAATAAAATGAACAAAAGAAGAGCAGAGTAGAAGACTTCAGGAGTGGTCCAGAATTTAAGTATGACAAGCAATCAGGAGATGTTTTCACAAAGAAAAGGTACCTGATCAAAATCCACAAGAAGAAGTCTGCCTACTCCTGATCTCAAAAGCATAGAGGCAGCATGACTTCCAACTCCTCCAAGACCAATGATCACAACGTAGGATGAAGTCACTTTTCTCTGATGTTCCAGTCCAAAGAACTGAATATTCCTGATGAAAGATATCAAAAGAAGTGCATTTAGGGTTTAAATAAACCTTACACAAAGCATCAGCAGTCAAACATCAAAGTATCACCAATCAGTATCACCAATCATTACTATGAAGCCCTTACGCTATATATGTGTGTCATTAATCCCAGTATCTTGGACACTAATCTGCTTCAAAATTGATGCATTTGTCTGTCCAAGTTGTCAGTTCTTTTTCCTTCTCATTCCTTTTTTTTTTTTTTTTTTTTTTTTTTTTCCTCTCAAATTATTGACTTAAGAGAGGGAGATTCCAGTTGCCCGGTAACCAGTACAAGTGAAACTTTCCATCCGTTTGGGAAGTCAAATATGAAAAGTCTATCCCCCTTTTCCTTTCTAAACTTGATATGTTGTTTTTCAACAACAAAAAGAAGTTAAGACCTGTAGAAAAGGTCCGAGTCCGAGTATGGAAAGAAGACAAGATATAGTAATTATAATCAATTAGTAATTGTAATCTTTTAGTTTTTTTGGTAGAATAGTTTTATTCCTATTTTAGAATATTAGTTTCCTTTTCCTGTATATATACACACTGTAATCAATGTTTTTACTATTGAAGAATTAGAAATTTCTTTCAATCTCGTTTTTTTCATGGTATTAGAGCAAGGTGCTTTCATCTAGAAAACTATGGCGGAATTCCCTGCCGACACTTCTACCTCAACAATGTCAGGTGCAGAAACAAAGCGTAATTCCTCAATTGGTCAGAATGCATTCGAGAATTCCTCGTTTCAGCTTACTGTTGAAAAATTAAACGGGAAAAACTACCATGAATGGGCCCAGTTGATTAAACTGATGATTGATGGAAAAGGAAAGTTGGGCTACCTTACCGGCGAGACAAAGAAACCGGCCGACACAGCTCTGCAGCAACGATGGCACTCCGAAAACTCCATGGTCATTGCCTGGCTAGTGAACTCGATGAAGCCCTCTATAGGGAAAACTTATCTGTTCCTTCCTACAGCGAAAGATGTATGAGATGCTGTAAAAGACACTTACTCAGACGCCGAAAACGCTTCCCAAATCTTTGAATTGAAAACCCGCTTGTGACGGACCAAACAAGGGACTCGAGATGTCACAAAATATTTCATGGAAATGACATCTCTTTGGTAAGACCTCGACCTCTGCAGTGAAGAAGAATGGAAGTGTCCCGACAACATCACCTTGTACAAGAAGCAGCAAGAAAACGAAAGGGTCTATGAATTTCTTGCCGGCCTGAATCGCGAACTCGACGAAGTTCGAGGCCGAATTTTGGGACGCCACTCGAGAGGTGTTTGCAGAAGTTCGCCGCAAAGAGGCTCACCGGCAGGTGATGATGAGGGAAATTTCTGGAGAAGCTTCGACCCTAGCTGGAAGAAGAAACGGACCTCCAAGATCGACAGCTTCTGGGCCAGGACATTATAGAAATAACGGGCCAAAATTTGGGCCAGAAATTGAACATAGTAATGGGCTTGTTAATGGCAGTGATGGTTTGGACTTTTCAAAAGGAATTATAAATGGGTCAACCCAAAAACAACGGGGCCATCCTTGGTGCGAGCACTGTCGTAAGCCGGGTCATAAAATAGATACATGCTGGGAAATTAATGGGAAGC